CATCTCTGTTGTCATATTCTCGACGTTTCAGCCGTTGTACACTCCGGCGTTCTTCAGGTGATTGGAATTTCGATAAGACATAGAAATAAACAAGATATGCAAATGATATAAAAATTACGATAAGATGATGAGGTATTGTAATTATTTACATTATTTACAGTGTTCGGATTGTTGTCCTCATCTTTATTGTCATATTCATTACGTTTCAGCCGTTGTACGCTCCGGCCTTCAGGATCTATCTATATTTCGGAGATAAGGTATTGTAATTATTCACATTATTTATAGTGTTCGCACTGTTTTCCTCATCTTTATTCACGACGTTTCGGACGTTGTACGCTCAGCCTTCTTCAGGTGATTGGAATTTCGATAAGATAAAGGTAAGATATAGAAATAGATATGTAGATGATATAAAAATTTAAATTACACAAAGACCAAATTCGATCCCTGTACAAAATTTAACTCCTTAGAAAACCTAAAAAATTTTTCTGCAAGATTTAAAAATTTAGTTAGTAAGGATAGAATGGGGAAAAGGGGACACAATGGGCACACGATAAACAAAGCTCGACCACTACGCCTAAGTTTAAAAGGGCAAACATAAGCAAAATAAAACAAAGTGTACATATAAAAGCTTGCACAAAAATATCCTTTAGTGCGCCTTATACAAAAACTAAAGCAGGATAACAATTCACAAATATACGACAAAAAATATTACACCATTTAAAAATGAAAAAAAAAAAAAAAAAAATTTCCGGAAGCAAAAATTGCACAAGGCAGAAAATACGAAAACGCCCCCACCTAATTTCTACAACTTAATCGAAGTGTGTCAGCACAAACAGCTTTGTGGTTGCAACAGGTTGATGTCGTGGGGACTTTGTGCAGTCCTTTATTGAAAAATTCAAGTTGAATTTATCGTTTCGATGAAGTTCTTCTCTAGAAGTAGTTGAAATGAATTTTCTATATTGAGACTTGAATCTCTGTCGACTCTTTTCTCTTTCCGCTTCTGGCTCCTTCTTTGGCTGGTCAGTTCTTTTGGCCTTCAAGCGTGGCTTCTTTAATGCTTTCCCCTTGACAACTAAATGCTTTCTAATTCTATTAGTGTGTCAGTCCCCTTTTATGCAAAAGGAAACTCCAAAGTTCTTGGGAATTTACAGGGGGATGTTACCACGTCTCTGATTGGTCAGTAAATACAATAGATTTCTTTTTTCTAATTCCAAAAGTGGATCCGTAATCACAAAATTATTTTGGCAGTTCTTTAACTGCTACATCAGAAAAAAAAAGTTTTACACAACTATAAGATATTTTTACAAACCGTCTGGCTTTCATGTAAAATACACTTTTCTTGATAAATGTAAAAAAGATTAACCTCGAACATGTATTTATTACACCTCTAACTAAAGACTAACTTTATTTTACAATACTAAAATATAAAAGTTTGATCAGTGTTTTGTGTTCATATAATCTTTTATTTATTCTGATCGAAGCTCTTCAGTAAAATAAATGGAGCACTATGGCTGCTTGGCGTTTGTTTACGTTTGTAAAAATAATACACTAGATTTGACTGACTCATTCGGTCGAGTGAAGATGGCTCAATGGTAGAAGCTCTGACTGCTTGTGTTTTGATCCGAGCTTGAAGCATTCGGTTGCCTAGTCGCACTGAGGAGCTGTGACACACACACATATATATATATATATATATATATATATATATATATATAATATAGTCCTGGGTATGACGATAAACTACATTCGCCAACAAGGCCTATGATTGGGAGGCTGGAGCTTTTGAGGAGCATGGAATCGCCACTTAATTGCTGTTGTTTCCAGATCCACTTTGATTTGAGGTGGTAGCACCTGTTAGGATCCCAGCTATAGGCAAATAGTGAACCCCAAACAAAAACAAGACATCACAAAAGTATAAAAAAATACATCTTTATAGTAAAAATATAAGCAATACCCTTTTACACAAAGTTACTAACAATACCTATTTATAGTAAAATGACCAACAATACATTTTTAAAGCAAAATGACCAACACTAGATATTATCTGTAGTTGAAGGCACACGATTGCGTCCAAAATATTTAGATTTCATTGAATAACCTATAGAGGTTGATATGACGCTAAATAAAATCAGCCAAACCAACACACACACACACATATATATATATATATATATATATATATATATATATATATATATGTGTGTGTTCAAATGTGTCTCCACTCATGTGTTTGTTGACAGATTAGAATTCTCTGTTCGTTGTTTTTTTGTTTTTTACCAACGAACAATCATACTTGATGAACTTTGACAATTTTATCTGTCACCATCAATTAACAAGTTAACATACAAACTGTTTATGTCGCTGAAGACATCTGACTAGGATTTATGAAACAAATCCATCCAAATTTTCATTTCCTCTAATGATTCCATATATGGCAATATAGCAAATACTAAAAGCATCTATAGAAATTCATTGCAAATGATTTTACTATAGGAATGTATTAGAAATGATTTGAATACTAGCTCTTTATAGAAACTGGAATATTATGGCTAGGATTTATGAAACAAATCCATCCAAACTTTCATTCTCTCTAATGATTCTATATCTAGTGATATAGCAAATACTAAAAGCATCTATAGAAATTCATTGCAAATGATTTTACTATAGGAATGAATTAGAAATGATTTGAATACTAGCTCTTTATATGGAGCCTGGAATATTATGGCTAGGATTCATAGATAACTGATGTAGGGAGAAATGTTGGCTTCTTATTTGATTGTATATCAGGCTACTGTTGTATTAGTGAAGAATTCAGTTATATATAATAGCCTTGTTCTGACAGTAACCCATCTTGAAATCCTGACCACCATATTTGTATGATTATGTAAAACATTAGCTTTAAGGTCAGAAATGGCCGAAACGAATCGATGTAGAGTCAGAAGAGCACATCTTTGAAATGAAAACAGATTGAATGCCATGTGCTACAGTGCTCAGAACCTTGGGGAAATGACATGGCTGAATCAATCTTTAACCTTTCACGACAAATCATCTGAGAAATAAATGAAGCCTAGTGGTACAGTGGCTAAAATGTTGTGAGAAAAAGAACGGAATTAAGAATTGTATATGGTTAGCAATTGATCATCTGAGAAATGAAGATAGAATGAAAGCCAGCTGATTCAATGGCCGCAGTATTTTGAGAAGGACCTCAACTAAGACAAAAGTGGCACAAATAAATCCATATATGATATTGACATCTCAGAAATTCGCAAAAATTTATAAAAATCTGTTCTCACCAGTGTTTTTGAATCCTATCTTTGCCTTTCTCTTTGTCTCGTTATATTTCAGTTTCTGTCTCGCTTTCTTTGTTTTTATATAACGCGTTCGAGCGTTTCCCTTTTAGCGCGTCCAAATGGGTGTTTTTTTGTCTTCCTTATTCTTTCTTGTTTCAACTTTCGTAAACTCTTTTAAAAATTGTTTTTTCATTTATTTTTCTTTCTGATTTTTCTTGTTTTCCTTTAAATCTTTCTTTACTGGTCTCTCCTTTCCTTTTTGTCAGTTCTCCTTTCTTTATTGCCTCTTCTGATTGTTGATGGCCTTGTTTTGAATGAAAGCATTTACTACTAATCCCCGAGAAAAGTGTTGTTTTGGCCAACATAAGGCGAGAGAAAGAAAGAGCAAACGATCATTCACATGTCCAAAAGGAAGAATAAAACACCATTGTAGAACAAATTTGAATACAATTTAATATCAACCTAGTAATTGGAAGAGAAAAAGCATTCTCAGAAAGGATAAAGAGAGTTCGTGAAAAGCCACGAAAAATAAAGTTTGGGAAAACAAATATCCGTGTACACTATTTACATTATTCGGACTATTGTCCTCATCTTTGTCGCCATATTTATTACAACGTTTCAGCCGTTATACGCTTCAGCCTTCTTCAGGTGGTTGGAATGTTGAACTGAACCCCTTTATTTCGCACACTGGGGTAGACTGTTCTAGTTCCACGTGCCATCTATAATGGATGTCAGTTATCAATTATCTAAGTTCTCCACTGCTTTAAAATTTCATAAACTTAAGGAATCAGTACATATGCTAGGCCACGAAAATCTCCTGAGCCGACCAAGCATAGAAATGAATACAATATGAGAACCAGTAATAAATAGTGCCAGAGAAAAGCAATAATAACAACAAAAATTGCAATATGAGCTCTGGTAAAATATGTAATGATAACAGCAAAAATTACAATATGAGCACTGGTAAAAAATGATTGCTGAAGACATTAGGTTAATAATATCCAGAAATTCGTACACAGGTGTCCTCAAGGACACATGGTACAGTGGATAAAGGCGTTGGTTAGATCCAATGACAAGACCCGATGTGTTATGAGTGGATAACTGATAACTGACATCCATTAAACATGACACGTGGAACTAGAATAGTGCACGAAGCAAAGGGTTCAGTTCGACATTTCAACCACCTGAAGAAGGCCGGAGTGTACAACGGCCGAAACGTTATAATAAATATGGCAACAAAGATGAGGACAAGAGTCCGAATAATGTAAATAGTGTACATAATACCTCATCTCAGAAATATAGACAAATATCCGTTTGTGTGTGTGGATGTTCGTAATATATGTAACTGAATATATGTATGTATATGAATAGTTTATTATATATATTTATGGTTATATGCAACTAACTTAGGAAGTTTCTTTTCTTGCAGTTGACGGGTGTTCGGAGCAAGTATTTTTTCTGGCTTAGGTCGATCACTCCGTATATTGTGTATGTCCGAATGACAATGTTTTCTTCGGTGTTATGAGTAAGTGAATGTGACGTGTGTGTGTGTTGCTGTGTATACATTTGTGTATGCTCCTGTGTGTGCTTCCTGTTACGTCAGCAAGAGGTGACATCAACTATGATGTTTGTGTATTGATTGATAAAATTGTTGTTGTAGAGGGAATTTGAAAATGTATTTTATTTATTTATTTTTATGTGGGTTTGAAGTGCCAATATTTTTTGTAATTGTTTTCATTTATTCTTTTATTTTTTTTTTCCGGAATCACTCATATTCTTTCCTTCTTTCTTTCATGTGCTTTTTCTTAACTTCTCCCTTTCCTTTCATTTTTCATTTGTTTCTTTTTTTTTTCCTGTTTTAGTTCTTCACTTCTGTAGACATTTATTTTCCTTCTTTTTTCATATTCTGGTCTTTATTTTATGTTTCGTTCTTTTCCAGTCTTTAACCTTTCTTTTGTTCTTACTTTCCTAGTCTTTATTCTTTCTTTCTTTCTTTCCTAGTCTTTATTCTTTCTTTCTTTCTTTCCTAGTCTTTATTCTTTCTTTCTTTCCTAGTCTTTATTCTTTCTTTCTTTCCTAGTCTTTATTCTTTCTTTCTTTCCTAGTCTTTATTCTTTCTTTCTTTCCTAGTCTTTATTCTTTCTTTCTTTCTTTCCTAGTCTTTATTCTTTCTTTCTTTCCTAGTCTTTATTCTTTCTTTCTTTCTTTCCTAGTCTTTATTCTTTCTTTCTTTCTTTCCTTATTCTCTTTATTCTTTTCTTTTTTTTCCTAGTCTTTATTCTTTCTTTCTTTCCTAGTCTTTATTCTTTCTTTCTTTCCTAGTCTTTATTCTTTCTTTCTTTCCTAGTCTTTATTCTTTCTTTCTTTCCTAGTCTTTATTCTTTCTTTCTTTCCTAGTCTTTATTCTTTCTTTCTTTTCTTTCTTTATTCTTTCTTTCTTTCCTAGTCTTTCTTTCTTTTTCTTTCCTAGTCTTTTATTTTTCTTTCTTTCCTAGTCTTTATTCTTTCTTTCTTTCTTTGTCTTTATTCTTTCTTTTTCTTTCTTTATTTAGTCTTTATTCTTTCTTTCTTTTCTTTCTTTTTTCCTTCTGTGTTTTTTTTTTTTTTTTTTTTTGCTCTTTTTTCTTTTTTTATCTTGGTTTCTTTCCTTTCTATTTTTGTTAATTTTTTTTTTTTCGTCGTTTTATTTTATCTTATTGTTCTTTCTGGGTTTTCCCCTTCTTTCTTTCCTACTTTCCTCACTTTTAAATGTATATTTTACAGTGAAATATAAACCCCTTACTTCACTCTGAAAATTTTGCTGATGATTAAAGAGAATTCATTGAAAAAATTACCGAGAAGAAAACGTTGACATCCAAATAAAACAATTTGGCTCAACCCAAAACGAGGCTAATTACTCACAAATCATTCTTTTAAAAAATGATTATCCCGGTCCTGAGCATGATAGCAGCACCACTTTAACGACGCCCTAAACGGAATAAAACACTTATCTCAAGCTGACCTGCGTTCAAACGAATAATGTTTACGTCACGCTTAGTGTATTTATGAATGAAAAGCCTTTTAAAACCGGATAAGCAGTACATTCTTACAAAATGTTTCTAGGACAAACCACTAATGTTTTGTTTTGTTTTTTGTTTTTTCTCTTTCACTATAACTATTTTAAAAGTTCACTCCACCCTTGTTTAGAAAATATGTGATACAAGCCCAAGTACTTCATGTACATAATCCTTTTTAATTGACATGAATAAACGTCCTTGTCACGTTAAGATATTTGCAGACAACTAAAATGAAAAATGAGAGAAAGTTCGTCTGTGTGTCAACGTGGTCAGAACGACACTTCGTTCTTCGAAAAGAAAGCCTCGGGAAATGGCAATGGTTAACAAGCTACTGTTATTAGTACGTAGTTAATTCGATAAATTATTAATAATATTTGCTGCCTTTTGCCGAACTAAACTAAACCTAGGAAATCAAATAGAAATAGTATTTCATCCGCAGATTACCTGGGATGGAGTAATGGTTAACAAGCTAGTGTAGTTGACCATTATTACAAAGTTGCGAGCTGATCCTCGCTGAGTGCTCCATATTTACGGCCTTGTGCCAAACTAAATTTAGGGGATAACAATAAGATCTTAAAAGGATGTCACTTCGATTTGAGGCTAATTTGACCATTACTACCTTGTAGTGAGGTCACTCCTCACTTGGTGCTCCATATACGTGGCCTTGTGCCAAACTAAACTAAACTTATAAAACAACAACAGCTTATTAGGCGGGATGGTGCAACAGCGAGTTAATCTGGTTGGCTGTTATTTCTGCATAGTGGGTTCAATCCTCACTAGGTGCTTCATATTTTTGGCCTTGTTCCCAACTAAATTAAGGTTAGAAAATAACAGCTTATTAGGATGTCAATTTTGGGATGATGCAATGGTGAAGGAGTCTGGTTGACTGTTATTACTGCATAGTGAGTTCGATCCTCATTAGGTGCCCCATATGTACAGCCTTGTGCCAAACTAAATTTAGGGGATAACAATAACATCTTATAAGGACGTCACTTCAAGATGAGGTTAAGCGAACTGGACTATTTGACCAGTACTACCTTGTAGTGAGACTGATCCTCACTTGGTGTCCTATATACGTTGCCTTGTGCCAAACTAAAGTAAGCTGATGAAATAACAACCACAGCTTATTAGGCTGTCATCTCGGGAGTTAGTCTGGTTGGCCGTTATTTCTGCATAGTGAGTTCGATCCTTACTAGATGCCCCATTCTTTTGGGCCTTGTGCGAAACTAAACTAAGGTTAGGTAGCCTAAATGAGGTCCTCTGGAGTGTCGCTGGATGGTTTATAAAGATTGTTTTTACCGTTCTCACAATACATGACCCAGTAGCTACTTAAGGTAGAGAAGGTTCCGGAATTAAGTTTTATTGGTGTAAGAGGAAGAAGAGCACATTATGAGGACATGTACGTTTAGTTTGGTTTGTTTTACGGCACATCAACACCTCAATGGGTTATTTAATGCTGACAAGATTTTTTTATTGCTGGTAATAATTTTTTTTTTTTTTAAATGTGTTGCTGGTAAAAAAAAAAATTCAAAATCAGTATTGCTGGTATTAAAACCTATTTTTATATTTTCATAGTGTTTTGATCCCTTTTGGGTGGGGGTAACTCTTTGTCCATATTTAGGACCCTGACAGGTGCTACCAACCCGGGTCAGGGTGAACCTGGGAACACCAGCAATTAAGAGGTGGTTCCACGCTCCTCAAAACCTTCTGATCAGAAGCCTTGCTGTAGGATGTAGTTTATCGTCATACCCAGGACAGGAATATGTAGGATAGAAAACATTTTTTTAACTTTGTAACCCCTTGCATGCTAGTGCCCCCACCCGCCTTGCTTGGGGTGAAGAGTGTGGGAGCAAGAGTAAAGAGGCGTGAAAGAGGAAAGGATGAAGAGAAAGACGGGGATTTAAATCAAGGCATCCGATGATGCCGATTGACGTTGCATTTGAATAATTAAAGATTATAACTATCAGGGAAGCAAGTAAGAGGAAGGGAGTTCCACAGACGGGAAGTGAGAAACATGAAGCTATTGGTGTAGAAGAGACGGCTACATTTAACCATTTCGACAGTGAAAGGGTGGGACTGAGATGCCGACTTAGTGGCCCGTTTAAATTCATGCAGTTTGGGAACTAGCGAAAATAGCTCGTCGCAGCAGTTACTGTGAAAGTATTTGTAGAAAAGACAGAGGGAGGCAACGGCACGTTTGTGAGAGAGCGACTGTAAACGAGATGCCAGATCAGGGCCACCCACATTGCATATTCGTCTCTGGATTTTGTCGAGAAACCTAAGACGAACAGCGGGGAAGGGGGTGCTCCAGACAGCAATATTCCATGCAAGGGCGAATGGTTGATTTATAGATTTGAAGGATGGACTCGGGCGAGAAAAACTTTCCTTGCGGTAGATGAAGCTATTGATTCAATGTAATTGTTCCATCTCAGGTCAGCGGATAGTGTGAAACCAAGAAGTCACAAAGAAGTGCTCTCGTGGAGTTGAGCATCAGACATTCTAATGGGAGGCGGGGGGGGTCTCTGTGGTGGATAACAGAGAGCAGTCTTGTTTTGGGGGCGTTAAAGTTAACCCCCCCTTTCCTGTCTCAACCGATTGGAGGGAATTTGAAGAGGTTAAAATTATAGTGATCGGGGGAAACATCCACTCGGGTGTTTATTCCACGAAGTACCAGTTCTTGTGATGAAAGTGGCTGATTGTAGTGTTCGGTGGAACTTCCTTATTATCAATGGTATACTAAAGGAATAAGATTATTCGGTACATGGTATGGCGAGCTCTAGCTGTAAAGGTCTGAACTTGTGGTACTAATGAATGTAGCTTGTGAAAACATCTGCCACGGGAATAGCATTAAAATAACGATTGATTCGTTTTTTTATGGCTTATCTTTGTAACCCTTTGTAAAGCCAGAAAAGTATTTTTAGATTGTAAGAATTTTTTTTTGGGGGGGGGGTTGTAATAATGGTTTAGCGATACAAGTCTTACTAATTAACTTTTGTTAGATGGAGGAGAGGTGGAATCATACCTTATCAGAATTTGATAAACAAACAAGAAATATGTGGATATAAAATGGGGGGATCAATTCTGTATTACATTCAATATATAAAATGATCCCTCATTTTGTGGCCACTATAATTTCTATATATTTATATTCCAGAGAATGTAAAGAAATCTAAAAAACATGCCTGTGTATCAAATCTGTATTTCAGTGATTGATTCATGTTGTACGGCTTGTCAACCATTTGTAGGTTATTTAAAGCCATAAATCATTTTTAGATTGTAAGGATTTTTTTTCTTTTTTGAGATAATAATGCTTTAGTGATACAAATCTCACAAATTAACCCATAAGTGGAGAGGTGAGAGGTGGATTCATGCCTGATCAGAATTTGATAAGAAATTATAATGGGGATCTATTTTGTATTAGAATCAATATATAAACTGATCCCTCACTTTGTGGTCACGATAATTTCTATACATTTATATTCCAGAGAATTTAAATAAATCTAAAAGACATGCCTATGTAGCTAATCAATACTTTTCAATTGATTGATTCGTTTTCTACGGCGTATCAACAACCAAGAAATTATAATGTGAATATAAAATGGGGGATCAATTCTACATTACAGTCAATATATAATCTGATCCCTCACTTTGTATTGATTGATTGATTGATTCGTTATCTATGGCCTGTGTAAACGGATGAGCCCGAAATGCGATTTGCAGGTTGGGGACACTAAATACAAACATGTGCGGAAGTTCAAATATCTGGAAAGTGTTTTGACGGAGGACGGTAAGTGCGATGCTGAGATCCGAAAACGGATTGGGATGGCCAAGGACACATTCCAAACGCTGGGAAGAGTCAGGAGGATTTCTTTGGTGACAAAGAAAAGAGTATTGAGCTGCTATGTGACATCTTCTTTACAGCAGCGAATGTTGGACGTTCTCCTCAAAGATGAAGAAGAGATTCGAGGCAGCGGAGGCGTGGTTCTACAGAAGGATGCTAAGGATATCATGGAGCGAGCGAGCAACGATGAGATCTTGGAAAAGATGCAAACAAGGATGAAGCTTATACTTAACATCAGAAAGAGGCAGCTGAAATTTCTGGGATACCTAATGAGAAAGGAGGGCATAGAGAGTCTGATACTCACAGGTCGAATAGAGGGAAAGAGAGACAAGGGAAACCAATGCATGATGTACCTGGCGAGCTTAAGCAAGAGGATGTCAGAAAGTGGTCCGGGGGAGTTGGAAGAGGCACGGAACTTATTGAGAGCTACAAGGGAGGGAAGAAGTGGAGAGCCATGATTGCCTACGTCCTGAAAGGACACGGCACATAAAAAGAAAGAAAGAACAACCTTTTGCAGGTTATTTAAAGCCAGAAAATATTTTTAGACTGTAAGATTTTTGTCTTTTTTGAGATAATAATGGTTTATGACACGTCTTACTGATTAACCCATTGTTGGGGAGGGGTGGTAGAATCATACCTAATCAGAATTTTATGAACAAATAACAAATTATAGTGCAGATATAAAGTGGGGGATCAATTCTATATGCCAATCAATCTACAAACTGATCCCCCACTTTAAGGCCACGGTAGCTTCTGTACATTTATATACTAGAGAATGTAAATAAATCTAAAAGACATACCTGTGTAGCTAATCAATATTTCATTGATTGATTTTCTATGGCTTATCAACAATCAAGAAATTATAATGTAAATATAAAGTGGGGGATGAATTCTGCATTGCACTCAATATATAAACTGAGCCCTCATTTTGTAATCAGATTAGTTTCTATATATTTATATTCCAGAGAATGTAAATAAATCTAAAAGACATACCTGTGTAGCTAATCAGTATTTCATTGATTGATTCGTTTTCTACGGCTTATCAACCCCTTGCAGGTTATTTAGAGCCATAAAATATTTTAGATTGTAAATTTTTCTATTTTTTTAGATATGGTATAGTGATACAAGTCTAACTAATTGATCTATAGCTGGTTGTAGAAGAGTTGGATTCATGCCTTTCCCAAGGGTATTTGCGCGTAAGTGAATATAACAAACCCGACTGGAATTGAAACTTGGCTTTCAGATCAAAAATTCCGAGGCATTATCCATTACACCACCCGCACACCCAAACTTATACAACGCCAGGTATTCTCAATCAGTCACCCATCTAGGTACTGACCTTGCTCAGCGTTGTTTAACTTCAGTGTTCGTACGGGAACCGATGTTTCAATGTGATGTAATCGTAAGCAGTTAGAATAGTGGTTTCCAAACGGTGCAAGCGCCTCATAGTGACGGTCGAAGAGGATAGCCGGTGAGGCGGAATGATTAAAAGACAAAGATTTACAAACAGTATCAAAAAATAAATACGATTTCAAAATTTAAAATATTATTATGAATTACTTATAATTGCATGCATGTGTCGCAGTATAAATAATTATAAATAATTGTTTACTGATTTTATCAGTATCTGTCTATATTTCTGAGACGAGGTATTATATACACTATTTACATTATTCCGACTATTGTCCTCATCTTTGTCGCCATATTTATTACAACGTTTCGGCCCTTCAGTATATGAGGTATTATGTGCACTATTTACATTATTCCGACTATTGTACTTATCTTTGTCGCCATATTTATTACAACGTTCGACATTCCAACCACCTGAAGAAGGCCGGGGCGTAAAAACGGCCGAAACGTTATAATAAATATGGCGACAAAGATGAGGACAATAGTTTGAATAATGTAAATAGTGTACCGATTTTATCATTGTGATATTTTTGCATTATATCAAGTAACAAGAATGTACTAACTAGTCTCCGCAAAGTGGAGGAGAGTGTTATCAATGATAATGTTCTGACTTTAAATACACATTTATCTTCCTTTAACCTTCTCTATTTTTTCTTTTTCTTTGTTTTTTTTTTTTTAAATTTATATTTTAATGTCCTTTTTATCACATAAAATTTCGTGGGGCCCAAGCAAATTTTAATTCCGAAAATGCGGCTCAAAGAAAAAAATTCAGAACCACTGTGTTAGAATAACGAGAAGCTTGTGAGGTTTTGTCCCCCGGGGAAAGGGACTGTAAGGGTGGGACATAATTCATCATCCATCATCCATCAAGTCGCGTAGACACTTTTGAACTCTGTCAAGGATGAAGAAAAAGAACCCGGCAATATAAAAATAAATAAAAAAAAATCTCAATTTCGGGAAATAAACGAGTCATTGTGCTATAATCGGATATGATGAAGCAACAGTCTGACACTCCTAATGTTCCTGCCTCATACATGTGCGCAGAATCAATTGGAAAATGACGCACATAACCGTCGTATATTTACTTGCTGCTAGCGTCATTGTTTTGAATGACAGCCAATGGCGGACTGGGTCTAAAAAATATTGGTTCGCTGGAGACAAAGTGAACCTACACACAACTACGATGCTATCTTGCATTTTTTAAAAAAATTACCTTCCATTTAAAGACACATGGTCCAGTGGATAAAGACGTTGGTTAGATCCATTGACTAGACCCAAAGAGTTGCGAGTTCAATACCAGGTCGTAACATTGGTGAACAAAAAAAAAAAAAAAAACTTAGAGAGTTAAAGGGAAATAATAGACACCCGGAAGTGGCATGGCACGTCGAACTAGAATAATCTACCCCGGTGGACGAAATAAGGGTTTCGGGTTGAAATTCCAATCACCTGAAGAAAGCCGGAATGTACAACGGCCGAAACGTTGTGAATATATCAATGAAGATGAGGATAACAGTCCGAATAATGTAAATAATGCAAGTAATCACAGTACCTCATCTCAGAGATATAGACAGATACGATGCCATAATTTAATTTTCCTAACGAATACATAAAACTTTCAAAAAATATATAAAAAATGGTACAATTAAAATCTTTGTGCAAAAACCAACCGTATTTCTTAGTAATTAGTGTACAAAAGATGAAAAGCCTAGAAGTCATGATGACTCACCACCGGCTTCGATGAGCCTGCCCAAATGCTAGGCACCGGTGTCCCCAAACAAATCCGCTTCTGGGACCTCGCATCTGGCAAAAGACTACTTGGAGACCCGTGATTCAGGGATCAACTCAAAAACACCTTTCTGAGGAGAGAAATCGATTCGGTCAATTGGGAGAGGGAAGCTGTAGAAAGATCCAATTGGAGAAGGACAGTCCACCAAACAACAATCTCCTTCGAAAAGACCAGAAGTCAAATAGAAGAGACGAAGAGAGACCAAAGAAAGGCAAGAACTCTCCATTCCCTGAACCCACTTACTCTACCATGCATTGGTTCAGATCCAACATAGGATTCATTTCACAACAGAAGGAAATCTCGATGAACACCACAGTACACGGCAACGAGTACCGCCAACGACATTAGAAGATACCAAATTTAAATACAAAATGTTATAATTTCATTTTTTATTTATTTTTCAATTTTTAAGTCTTTGGTTGATATTTTAAAATAGTTTTCTGTGCAATTTACACTTTAGCAGATTGTTCAAAGCGCGATAGAACATTGCATGCAGTCCACTAAATTAAGAAGAATTGTTTGAACTTCGATGGGCCTGAGACCTTGCCCGAATTCCAGACACCCGTCTCCCCAAACAAATCCTTTTCTCGAAGCTCGCATCTGCTAAGAGACTACTTGGAGACTCATGTCGTCGATTCAAGGATCAGCTCAAAAACACCTTTCTGATGAGAGAAATCGATTCGGTCAATTGGAAGCTGTAAAAAGACCCAATTGGAGAAGGACATTCCACCAAAAAACAACATCCTTTGAAAAGACCAGAAGACAAATAGAAGAGACGAAGAGAGGCCAATGAAAGGCAAGAACTCTCCATTCCCTGAACTCTTCTAACCTACCACGCGGTAGCTGTGGACGTCTCTTTAGATCCAACATAGGACTCATTTCACACAGAAGAGACATACGCAAACTTGACAGATTCCATCAAATTAAACTTCGTCAAATCCTGTGAAACATGTGGCAAGACAGGATCACGAAAAATGATGTTCTCCTCCACGCAAAGATGGAGAGCCTAGAAAACATTGTGACTCACCACCGACGACTTCAATGGGCCGGAAACCTTGCCCGAATGTCGAATATATGCCTTCCAAATAAATCCTTTTCTCAGGGCTCGTATCTGGCAAGAGATCACCCCACGTCGTCGATTCGAGGATCGACTCAAAAACACCTTGCAGGTGGAAATAAATCGATCTGGTCAATTGGGAGACGGAAGCTACAGAAAGAACCAATTGGAGAAGAGCTGTCCACGAAAAAAACAACATCCTTAGAAAACAGCAGAAGACAAATAGAAGAGACGAAAAGAGAATCAAAAAGAGGCAGGGCCCTCCATTCCATGAACCCACCTACTCTACCATGCAGTGACTGTGGACCTCTCTTCAGATCCAACATAGGATTCATCTCACAGAGAAGGGTGAACAACACTGTACACGGCAACGAGTTCCGCCAACCAAATGTAAATACAGAATGTTATAATTCCATTTTTTTAATTCATTTTCTAATATTTAGTGATCTCTATCTATAAAAGGCTGTGTGTGTGTGTGTGTGTAACGAATGCACGGCCGCAATTTTTGACAGATATGCACCAAAATTTACATGCACATGTTCCAAGTTAGCGGGGAGGCCAAGACCGATTGCATTTCCCAACTCTCGTCGATAGTGGAAATAATCGATTTTTTCATGCTTCTACGGCAGTTTTCATGTAGTTTCCGGTCATTTTCTACTGGCCAGAGAGAGAGAGCCTATAGCTGGCTCCCACGAATAGGCAGGAAGATTCTATTGGCCAGCGTGAAAGCCAACAGCTGGTTGACACGAATGTTAACTAGCATGCAAAAAAAATCGATAGCTGCATTCGTCACAAGTGGGAAAAATTTAAATCTGCATGGCACTTTACTCCAATTGGCTCATTCGCTTGCTTAAACTCAACGTTGATTATGATTCCGCAGAACTGGGTTGGGTGTGAAAAGTATTTTTGTTAACATTCTTTTTCAATCGGTTTTTCCAGTTACGAGTCCTTTTTTAAAGCTGATCGTTTTATGTTCATTTTGTTTAGTTCTTTTTTTTTTTCGTAACAGATTTAATGTTTAGTATAGAGCTTAGAAAAATTCGCAGTGTGAGATAGGCAAAAGTAAGGCATAGCAACATCAGCACGGCAAAGGGCACTCCTTTAAAGGCAAGGAAGGGCAAAAATATTTTAATTCAAGTGATAGCGATTGCTGTAGGAGTCTTACGATTTTTTAATCAAGCACGGGAAACGCCGGGTCATGCTGCTAGTTGTTTAATATTTTTAAATAGTTTTCTGTGCAATTTACACATTAACAGATAGTTCAAAGGCGCGATAGAGCATTGCATGCAATCCGCTATATTAAGAACAATCGTTTGTTTTCAGTAAATGATTGTGCAAATCTGCCAATAATTGCTTACATTTGCCTTTGGTCTGATATTTTTATCTTAGAGAGAAGAGATCCTCTAAATTTAAGAGCTTTATAGACAGTCTGTATAAAGAAAAAAGGCAACAGATTTTCTTTCATTTGCCTTTGGTCTGATATTTCTATCGTATAGACAAGTGAATGTCTTCTAAATCTAATAACTTTATAGCCAGCCTGTGTAAAGAGACACGAGATTAAATATATTTTTATTTGCATTTTGTATGTCACAGAAAAGTTCTTCAAAATGTGAGGATTTTATGACATCCGGAACAAAAAAAAAAAAAAAAACTCAACATGTTTTTAGCCCTTAAACAGCAGTCATCATCAATTGTTGTTTTGTCGGAGTTAGCTCCCCCTTAATTCCCTAATTGTTCACTAGGGGGTCGCTCTCCCTACATTATAAATACTGGGCAACTTCTTGCCTCGTTCTCTTTTCACTTTGCATTTCAATGGATACATTTAAAAATGTGATCTCTCATAGAAATCAGCATTTTGACCACTTGTGGGAAAACGCCATGAAACACACACACACACACACACACACACACACACACGTACGTACGAACATTCACCAATATACAAACTCTTTACGTTCACATACAAACAGAAATGGTGATGTCTTTGTCGCTTGTAAATTTGTTGCTTAATACATATATTTGTTGACATATATATCTGTTGTTTGTTTTCTTTACATCTTCGGTTGGACTCAACTTGAGTCCCGCATTGTTCTTGTAGTTGGACCCTCTTCTATCAGGAATAAACAGCACGTGTTTCTAATTCAACAACA